ACTTGACTTGTTCACTCGATAACGACGTGAGTGAACGTCGAAGCGTTTGTCATGACGTATATATCTTTTTGGTTTTCACTATGTACAATTTTAAGAACAATGCTTTATAACAAAATTTATTTTAAACTGAACCATAACCAGAATGAGTAAAATCTAGATCTGGCGCAGTTAGTTTTATTTGTACTAATACTTATACTTTCTAYTCAGTTTTTTTTCTTTCTTGTCTTTACCGAGAAACTTTTCGYTCAACTATACGGTTCAACAAAAATCTTCTCTTCTCTAGTTTTACCGCCTTGCTATCTATCTATTTTTAATTTGACCTATCTTCATTCCCATCTTCATTTGCATTTTCCTCCTTGCTTTAGGTCTCGATATGCTCTATGTTTAACGATTTTAACGATTTTTTCTTCTTGTTGTTTTAATCGAGTCATATTTTGTTGATGATACAGTTCAGAAAAATCTTGATCAATCTTCTCTAGTTTTGGTCTGAGCCATTTYCATTCTGTTCTTCCTCTTTTTTTCCTTCAGCTTTTGAGCCATTTTCATTCTGTTCTTCCTCCTTGCCTTCAGTTTTTACCGTTATTTCAGTGTTTTCCTGGGTGTTATTTTCAAGGCGTTGTAGATATTCTGATGCGGTCTTCTCCATTGTGTTCCACACATCATCACCAGGATCAAAGAAAGGTTTAATCCAACCATTCCGAATCAGCATGTTGACCAAGCAGCAACGACGTGGCTTGGACGTAGGTCTCGATAGACTCTTGTACTCCTCCTCGTACTGYGCAATGATCTTCTCAAGCTCTTCTCCTCTTCCCACACTTCTGACCGCCCTGGAAAAAACATGGTGGAGATGTTGRCATTCTTTACTCRATGGYCCACGAGCCGTGGCGTACTTCATAAAGGTTTGATTAAACTTGTCGACGAGATGTGTGTCGTAATTTGCAAAATACTCTGCCAGCTCCTGGCGTTGTTTGATCTTCATTTCTCTTGCGTAGTTYTCTGAGTAGCCAAATATCGAGTGRAAGTAATCYTTGGTTCTTTCGCGAAGTTTGAGTTGGAAGCCTTGCTCGTATAATCGTCCCCCCAGGTGCGCTATTGCGTTGGGCGTATATGGATAAGGGGATGTCCGCCACCGTGGAATAAGGTTCGTGTCCCAGCTGACAAAGAATTTGTCCCTGCTCAAATCTGCACCTCCGCACTCAATRGCGTGTGGACGAGAACCATGTATGGGAAAGATGATACAGTCTTTGTGATGGACATATTCAGTATGCTTGCGTTGGACCTTCAGSACGCGGACGTCACCTGGATAGTAACTAGTATCGCGGAAAACAACGATTCGGTCCACTTCTGAGAAYTGTTTTTCTTCCTCTTCGGTCAACGTGGGGTTGAAGTAGCACTCWCCGTACCCAAGCAGTTCAAACGGGTCGCAAGCTCCGAACACGACTCTTGAYTTAGGGACCAGAATCTTCAATTGTGCTTTAGACTTTTTCATTGAATCAGAAGTACTTTCTTCTTGCTCGTTCTTCTTGTTGCCTTTCATTGACTGTATCTCGTATTCTTGTAGTTTCTTCAGSTCCTCTAGGATGGAATCCATTCCTTCAGTGTTCAGCTTGCGCAGAAGTTCCTCWTGACCCGTGATTTGCAAGTAGTACGAAGCCTGRGTCTTGCTTATCAAAAGATTCTCCAACAACGTGAAGTATTCGTCTTGTAATTGGCTCAAGTACTCACGTGGTACGCCGCCATCCGCCAATAGCATGACATCATGAGTATTCAAGTAACCGTTGCTATAGGGACGAGAGTAGTCCATCACGCCAACAGATGTCATTCCATTATACAAATCTGTGTGAGCGAAAGTGAATTTTCTCATAGATTCCCTGAATTCGACTTTGACCAGGTTTAAATCGGAGCGAAGTACAAGAATTCCTGAGTAGCCTTGGTAGACAACACGAGCAACACACGGAGTGTAGTCAAGTTTWTCTAGTTGTTTGATCTCGGTGGCGAACTGCATGGACATGAAGCCACAGCCATAAGAAAAGTTATACGTCTTGTACGATCCTCTCTTTACATCATCAATAGTGAAGTAATCGTTCTCGCTCAGTGGAAGTGTCTTGTCGAAACCTGTGAACAACACACCGATGCATTCAGCCCTCTTWGACAAGCTTTTGAAACTATGGAAGTCTGTAAACTTTTCAAAATAGTCGTAGATTGCAAGGTCCGAGTCGTGCATGAGGAGACACGTCTTCTCGAGAAGCTGTGCGTCTGAGTGACCAAGAAACCGGTAGCAAGCTCCTTCGAGGCAGACTCCTCTGCGAACAACATTTATCGCYGACCCATTCTCCTTGTCCTTGCCATTTGGACGAAACGTCACGACCATTAAGGAATCGAGTACTTCAGATCCTTTGAGCTTTTTAAGATACTGAAGAATCAGGGTGTCTTGGATTGGTTTGTAGGCAAAGGAGTGAAAGTCTTGTCCTTTCATGAGTACATGCTTGACTAGATTATTGGCGATGTGTTCAGCAGGTGGCGGGACCACCAAATGGTCCGGGATAAAAATTGGGAACGCCATACAAAGAGTGCCGTGTAACTTCTTCCTGGTGGGTTAATGAAACGAAGATAAATGAGCAAATTGTTGTGTGTCTGAAACCTTGTTGTTTTTTTTTTTGTTGTTTTTTTTTTGTCAGGTGTTTTTTCATTTTGTTTGTTCACTTTTTGGGAAACGTCGATCAAAGCTGACGATTGCAMAGATTTCCCCAAAATGAACAAACGGAATAAAGATAACCAATTTGTTTATTATTCACTAAAAACGGAAGTATAAATAAACTGATCCCAATAWCCTGATCCTAGGTGAATCAGGTTTAGCAACGCTAGCATGACCTACAGCACGCACAAGCATGGCAGTTAGAGCTGCTATCGAATCAGCGAGAATTAGCGATACATGCTGCGGCAAAGTCGTAATCGTACTGTAGCTGTATTGTATCTTACAACCGTAACTACGCGCTGAGAATTACTGCAACACAACTGCACAGTGGCGGATCTAGGGGTGGGTTTTTGGGGTTGCAACCCCCCCCATGAGAGCCATCGTGATTTATTATTATTATTATTTTTTTCATGACAACACCAACAGCATCGCGAGTTTAAACAGGGGTGCCGAACACATTTCGCTCGCTTTTTTTCTGTACGCCGTGTGTGGGACCTGAAACAATCATGCTCGCCCGCAGCAAATAATCATTATCATATGACTTACTTCCGTTTGGGAACCCTAAGCTACTTTCCCGCCAAACAAGTACTTCCACCACCTCAATCAATTCTACAACCCCCCCTTTGAAAAAATCCTTGATCCGCCCCTGCTGCAATGGGAAGCCATTTMAAGTTTACGGCATATATATAGTTTACTGTGTACCTGCTGTAATATCACCGATTGCCATATTACTGCTATATGTTTCCCACTCAAGCGAGAACCGGCGCTCTAAAATGAACGAGGTAGCTCCTCAAGCTTATACGGAATTATTTTATAGCTAGCACAAGGTACACAGTAATACAATGCTTATTGTTTTCTCGTTTTCGTATCCTTGTAATTAAATTACTCCTTTTTTCGAAGTCCACCGTGTGATACAACCAGGCTGCTGCTATATAACGACAATGACTTAAACGTTTGAAGCCGGCGCACGTGGGAAAAAACAGACACAAATTGAAAATAATTTACACTAAATCAAGTGAAAGTCTTAGCTAAGATAACTGAAGTCTCCCAATAAGCCATTTAAATCTACTCATCTTCAAAAGAATTAACAATATGTTTGTCTAAATAAATCAAAATATGAGTTTAAATTTCTCAACAGTAAACCGCACCCATGGTAAAACCATGTCCCGAGAAATACTTCAAGCAAAACTTAAAACTACGTTGGGATCAGAAACAGCGTAGTTTTACGTAAAAATGTATCTGCTAGAAAAATTAGCAAAAGGTAAAAAATTCGTCTTCAATTTTTACCCAATGASAAGGAGAGCTTTCACACAAGTGCAGCTTGTGAAGGTGGAAGCAGAATCAAAATTCATWGTATCTCATGCATGAATGGAAAACTGCAGGTATTCTATCAWGGATGTTGGACACATCACAAAATAYTAAAAGTGCATTCAATAAARTTTACCTCAGTTGCTACATCAAAGCTCTTCAATCTTCTTCTTGTCTCTTGTAGTTCATGCGTTSGACTTTCTAAATCACAGATATGTAGCTGGTTTAAATAGCTGCATCGTTTTGGGTAGGAGAGTATTTTTAGTGTTGACGTAGGGAAGTAACCTGYTTTACCGGTTGCCGTCATATCTCGCCTCATTCTCCATGTATGCTTCTCAACTTACTGATTCCCCTGCGTCAGTAAAAACGTCTTCGTAAAGCACTGGACATTTTCTAGAAATGACTGTATTAACCTTTTTATTCAGTATTTAACCGTTGAATATTTACAATTAAGTTATAATTTTCGATGCGAAACGGTAAAACAATTTCGACAATAATTACCATAAACATCACGATAAACAGTCGATTGAAATTCATGGAGCTCAAATTATGATGTTGACAAAGAGTTTTAAACGCTTGAACAGCACCGAAAACGACATAATTACAATATTTAACACAGCAGAAACTTAAAATTTAGGAATTGAATGAAAAAGCTTGCCTTGAGACCGAAAAATTAGTCACTTATCTACACCTTTCTTGTATTCTGTTTACTTCAGATATCACTAGTAGCAGGTACATAGACTGCAGTAACGTAGCAACACTAATGATCCAGAGGAATTTAATATTCTAGAACTAGAMTAATGCAAGGCAAACGAGACTGTTCATGAAAAACATGATTTGGTGATTTGCCAATCTACCAGTTTACAACTTGAATGGGGATGGATAGTTATTTGGTTCAGTAGAAATTTGTACCACCTGTTTCAAAACAGGTTAAACCAGTTTTATGTTGATCCACTCTGTCAGTTCGTGATRGCTTAATAGTATTTTCACTGGAAAAACAATCATAATCAGTGACGTACGTTTATACCGCGTAACATTGTAAACAGGATTTTAGAGCATACACGGTTAATATTATGTTACGCGGTGAAATGTTCAACTGAAATTATTTGGAACGGAAGTTTCAAGAAGAAATTCAGATATAAACAGAGAAATTTCTTGTGAAACTAATGCTAGGACAACGAGAGCCTTTACTCTTTGGCAAAGAAAGTTTGTTAAGGTCATGTTACACTTTGCAATTTTATGTTGCGCGTAGCGTTGCCAGAAGTAGAACTGCAACTGACAACCGCTATCGCAGTGTATCACCCCTCTAACAACGTTTCTCGCAATGCGTTAAGGCTATTTTTCAAGAGCGCATGCGCATGCATCTCTTGAATCTCGAGCCAGCCAAAAAGTTGTTGCAAGTTGCTGAAATCGCGTTGCAGTGGTTACACCTCATCTCGGCAACTTGCAACGCTACATTTTCATTGCGAGACAAATTGCTGAGAAAATTGCACAGTGTGACGAGAGCAGCATTGCATGGTTTTGTAACTCGAAACGCATTAAGATTTGCAAGTTCAACTCTTTCTTGGTGTTGCAAGACACGCAGGCATGAAGACAATAAAGCAATACCCAAGGATATAATGAATTTGGAGCTGCCCTCAATACCCTGCCTTCAAAACAAAAGTCAAAAGTCTGATCCCACATTACTGAGAGTTATAATAGCAATGATCTAGAAACTCTTTCGCTCGTCGCTCCATTTTTYCCCACACATCATCACCACGTTGAAAAGGAGCTTTGGAAATTCCTGTGTGAACGAGAAGACCTTGAACAGCTTGAGAAGGTAGGCTTGCTTCTTGTACACCGAACTCTCTCAACACCGCGTATTCGTCTTCATAYTTCTCGAGAGTGTTTTGAAACTCTTCTTTCTTTCCCACACCTGCTAGGACCTCAGCGTAGAGTTTGTGTAGCTTGCGACATTCGTTACTGGATGGCCCCAGAGTRGAGGCATAGCTCATATAGACGGCATCAAACTTGTAATATATGTCGGGTATATACTCTGCAAAATATTCACCCAACTCTTGCATTGCCGCGACCTTCATTCGACGTTTATGGCTCTCGTCACTGCCAAAAACATAAGGCAACATTTCTCGTGCCTGTTGACAGACTCGACTTCCGAACCCGCCGAATGTTTCTTCGAACGACTCCGAGATTYGGCTCCCCACGTGGTCTAAGGGACCAGGACCATAATTATGAGGTGACGCATTGYGCTCTGGTATAAGGTTCCTGTCCCATAYGACRAAGAACTTGTCACCATCCAAGTCCCCACCTCCGCACTCCAGGGCATGGGGATTTCCACCTCGTACCGGGAATACAAGACAGTCTTTAAGGTGCGCGTATTCGGATAGATCTTTCTGCACTTCTAAGATGAGGATGTCGCCGGGAGAATAACTTGGATAGCGCATGACGACAACCTTGTCTACTTCTTCAAACTCCCCTTCTTCTTCTTCGGACATTGTAGGGTTGAACCAACATTGACCGTACTTGAGTTTYTCGTACGGGTCACAAACGCCGTACACTATACGGGATTTGGGTACCAGAATTCGTAAATTCGTTTTAACCCCGTAGTACGGGTTGTGTAGATTTCTTCCGCCTTCGATTTTGTCGCACTGTTTCATGTTTTCAATTTCTACTTCTCTGAGTTTCTCAAGCTCTTTCTGGATTCCCTTTAAGCCTGTRATCTGCAGAATCCGAAGCTGTTCCGTGTTCCCTGTCGTTCGTAGGAAATAYGCYGCCCGCGATCTGTTTGTACAGAGGTTATCCAGCATAAGGTAGTAATCCTCCTGCAGTTGTTTGAGGTAGTCATGWGGCACACCTCGATCAGCCAATAGCATCACACTTTGTAAATTAAGATASCCATTGGTGTAAGGTCGAGAATAGTCCAACACCGCAAATGTGTTTAACTTTTCACGAAGTTCAATATCAGCGATGGTGAATTTTTTCATCGATTCACGGAATTCAATTTTCGACTCGCGCAAATCCGTTCGCACGACAAGTACACCACTCGAGCCTTGGTAGATCACCGAGACTACACTCGGAGCAAAATGCAGCTGCTCAGCCAACTGGATTTCTGCGGAAAACTGTTCAGACATAAAACCGCAGCCAGCGGTGAAGTTGTGYCTTCCTTTCTGTATGTCAGGGATCTCGATCATCTCTTTCTCATCAAGGGACAACGTCGTCTCAAAACCCGTGAACAGCAGATTRACAGCATCAGCGCGCTTCAGTGGGTTTCTTACATGTGTGAAATCAATAAACCTGGCTAAGGTATCGTAAATAACCAGGTCTGAATAGTTAATCAGGTAGCACGTYTTCTCTTTTAGTTGATAYTCCGAGTGACCCAAGAATCGATAGCACGCTCCGTCAAGACACACTCCGCGATTCAGAATGTCCATGACATATTTCCAGTCTGATCGACCGCGCGGTAGAAAGCACACCACCATTAGCTTATCTAGCACGTTGTCACGGAATCTGCGCTTTAGGTACTGCAACAAAAGACTRTCCTGGACGAACTGGTAGGAGAAGCACTGGACATCGTCACCTCGTACGACCAGGTATTTAACCAAGCCTTTCTCCAAGTGYTCTTCTGGTGGAGAAGTGATAAAGTGATCGGGGACGAAAAATGGGTACGCCATTACTGGGTTGCTTGCATTACTTGCATCAGTATTCCTATTGAAATTATAGAAAAAAACGTTTGTAGTGAAACCCATATTTGATATGACATCATAGGTATCCACTCCAGAGCCCCTTACTGTCGTCTGCAAAAAAGGCTTGGGCAGTATAAGTGGGGTGCGAATCTAACACAATAAACCTCGTAAAGACGTGTCATTGCGTGACAGAACAAGAAGAAAGAAAGCCGTAATGCGTGAGAAAACGCGAAGAAATCATGTAAGAGATGTAAAGATTAACTTTCATTCTTCATTTGAATACTTGGAAGTCAACATGAAGCTCAAATATGTGTCATGTGACTGAATCATCACAATACTGATTGTTAAGTACTACGGTATATTCAGAATATATCATTTGACTAGTCTAAGAAAACTAGAGCACTGAGACAAATGACGTTTATATACTTCTATCTGCAATAACTATAATTTCTAAATAAATCTCTTGAATTTTCGTTGTTTAAGGACTTCAATGTCAGTATTATTTTTAATTGTATTTCCAAAGGGTTTGACAAAAGTCATAAATCTTGTACGCATTAGTCGATTCAATTTATTGATCTTTGTTTAACTTGTAATATTAATTGGATATTTTCCTAATGTTTTAAAAAAAAACCATTTCAGCAAATTAAATTATATGAGTTCACAAACACTATTTTTCAGATTTATTTGAGACTCGAAATATTTTTAAATTATATGAGTACACAAATACTATTTTTCATAATTATTTGAGACTTTGAGAATATTTTCTTAGATCATTGAATAAATTTATTTTGTTCGAAGGTTGTGGTTGAGCAGTCGCTGAATACTCATTACATTTACCAAACGTCGCCTTAAATTGAAAAACAAGAGTCAAAAATGTACAGTTTTAAATATGACTGAGCTAAAACATCTCCACTTAAAGTTCTATCTGTAGAAATAACTTCTTATAGGAGCAAATTTTTATAATAGACACAAATAATACGTCGTAAATATGAGGCCATATAAAAAGCCATATATCAGGCCACATATGAATATATAAACTAGCTGTGTGATAGTGCCTGAGTATTACTACAGCAAATGAGACAAGATTTAAACAAAACATGTACGAGTATATTACCTTTAAATATAATTGGTTTGACGTCGGTGTAGTGCTGAAAATACTAAGATGTCAGCTTCGTTTTGTTCTGTATGTATCTTGACTTCAATSGACTGACTTGCTTGGTTTGCTTGGTTTGCTTGGTAGCCTCGATCACAAGGTCAGACTAATTTGAATACCGTATGGAAATGAGGTGGATCACTTTACGGTGGCTAAAATCTTYATTAGATCTGATTGTAATATTGGTTGAAGTAATGTGTTAAGGTGGTACGGTAAATAATGTTGCTTGTTCGACGTCCTTTGACACATCTTCATWGGCGTAAAGAAAATTGAGCTTCAACACAGAATGGTTTTCTACTGCGTAGCGGGTCACTGAGAGGGGGGGG